TAAATTTTTTTTAAAAATCTTTAAAACAGTTACAATGGTAAACTTTATGTGTATTTTACCTCAAAAAAAAAAAAAAACAATTTGGGTTGTGGGGGGAAAAAAAACAACACATATATAGGCCAGGATTACAATTATGTAAAAGTAGACATGAACCAGAGGAATACAGACAAGTCCCAATACCTGTTAAATTAAAATGGGACTTCATTGATGTTGGACAATAAATAATCAAGAAAGGAAAAGAAGGCCAGAAGCATACAGCCAGTCCTAAAGCCACACTTGCAAGCCTGCAAATAAGTGCCGACCAAGTGGGGGACAAGTTACATTGCTCACCAGGCGCCAGAACAGCATGTGTGTGTGCTGCGGGGTGAGGGAGAGAGGTCTCATGCCCTCCTCAGCCCTGTCCTCTAATCCCCCTTAAAATACTCCCTAGGGCACAGAAACCATCTGTTTCAACCAAGCCTAGAGCCCTACAAGCAGATTAACTCCTTCACTGCTGACCTTCTACAGATGGGCTTCACTCAAGAGTAAGTGTTCATTTTTAAAATGCCTTTAAATGTTAGAACATAAGCTCTTTAAAAGGGAAGATACTTGGCCCCGTTCTCTGGTATATCCCTAAAACCCAGAATAAATGAACATCAGGGGATACTCAATAAATTATTGTTTCATTTATGCCTATTTTTTAAAGTCTCCCTCTTCTCGTCATTTGTCCTCACTTAGAGTCTGACCTGGTTTCCTCAAATTCACTCTACCAACCAATATTTTGTGTGCTTGTGTATAAGATAACCAGTCTCCTCACCGGGGTTTATCGCCAGGTCCCAGTGCCCAGCACAGCACACACAGTGGATGCTCACATTTATTCATCAAATAAAAGAATGACTCACTTTGGTCACCACACCTTGTAAGTGTTCAGCAATGAGCACTTCAACCTGGCTAAGTTTGAGCTAAGTACCATGAGAGTTATAGAGATAGAACGTCTACAGAACGGTCCCCCAAAAAGTGTAATTTCAACAGGAAGACAAAACTACTGTGTAGGAAAGTGATACATCAGCATGAACAATGATCATCCAAGAAGTCTTCATGGAGAAAAAAGGCCTAAAGTGAGGCTGTAAGGGATGGATAGGTTTCAGTCAAGTATAAAGAACAAGGGTGTTCCGGGCAAAGAACTGCCAACACACAGTGCAGGAGAGAGTGAATGAGGCACTTCAAGGTACCATGAGGAGATGGGTCTGTCTGCAGCTGGAATTGTGTTCTAGGAAGTTATGTGAGATGAGCCTAGAAGAGTTGGGAGATCGGTGGGGGGTCAGAACACAAGTCTGTCATGGGGTGCCTGACTGGCTCAGTCAGAGGGGTGTGCGACTCTTGATCATGGGGTCATGGGTTTGAGCTCTGTGCTGGGTGTAGAGATTACTTAAAATAAACAAACTTATAAAAAATATTTAAAAAATAAGTAAAAGGTCTGTCCTACTTTTGGTAATAGGAAGCACAGGAAACAAAATATAAGGCGGTTGCAGTGGTTCAGGCATGAGGAGATGAGTGACTGGACCAGAGTCATGGCAAAGGGAGCGGAGAGGAAAGGGCAAATTTAAAAGAAATTCTGAAGAAACAAAAGGACCCAATGACAGACTAAAAATGGGGATTGATGCAGAGAGAGAAGCCAGAGATGTCTCCTGGGTTTCTGATCTAGGAGACTGAAGAATGTGAGTACAACTGTCAAAAATGGGGAATCGAGGAGGAAAGCCAAGTCTAGGCTTGGTTTTGAAAATACTGAGTTCGAGGCAATATCCAAGTATAGATGTCCTGCAGGCAGCTGAAAAGTAGACCAAAAATTGAGATTCTTTTTATACATACAATGGAATATTATTCAGCCTTAAAAAAAAAAAAAAGGAAATCCTGTCACATGCTACAACATAGATGAACCTTGAGGACATTAGGCAAAGTGAAGTAAGCCAGACACAGAAGAGCAAATACTGCATGATTCCACCTATATGAGGTATGGAGAGCAATTAAACTCATGGAAGCAGAAAGGAAAGTGATGGTTGCCAATGCAGGGGTGGGGAAGGAGGGGGACAGGTAGGTGCTGTTCAACTGGTATACAGTTTCAGTCACACAAGATGACAAAGTTCTAGGGCTCTGCTGTACAACAAATGTGCACACGGTTAACAATACTCTGCTGTACATGTAAAAATTTGCTAAGAGGATAGATTTGGTATTTTATGTTTTTTATCACAATAAAAAATAATAACACCTGAAAACACCGAGAGATTTTTAAGGGGTAGAAGACAGATGTGGGAGTTTGCAATTTTTAAGAAAAGCGGATGTCAAAAGAACTGGCTAAAGGGGGAAAAGAAAAGGTCAGGAGCAGTGTAATAACGCCAGCTATGTCTGTATCGTGGGTTTATGTGCCTGTGCTGCGTTAGGAGTTTTACCTCTGCCAATCCACCTCAGCCTCATTAATTTTATGTTGGAGATATTATTATCTCCATTTTACAGATGAGAAAATGGAAGCTCAGAGAAAGTGAGTAACCTGCCCCAAGTCACTCAGCTGGTAAATGTAGAAACTTGGATTTTAACCCAAACCTGCCTGGATCCAAAGCCTGTGTTCCTCCAACTTCACCACATTGCCTCACCCTTTAGGAAACTGCCAGGGGTAGAGTCAGAACAAAGAAAAGACCCAGCAAAAGGCACACAAACAACAATCAGGTAAAGGAAAACAAAGAAATGCCCTCACGGAAGCTAACAGAAGAGAACCTTTTAAATAGGCAGTGAAGTCATCAACAGTGTCAAATGCCAACACTCCAACACCAAAGGAGGTCCACACTCCAAGTCTGTCTGTAAGGACTCGTGTAAAGACGGGCCAGGTACTGCCACCCAGAGAATTTCAAAGAAACAGAGGCCCAACCTAGAGCTAAATGGGCTTCTTCTCTCCATCTTATCACTAACAGGCACTGGGGCTGCTGGTCTCCCGGCCACTCCACGGGCCTCATGCTGCAGTGCATGGCCTGACCCGTCCCAGGAAATACCCACCCAAACACAAACCCTTGCACAACACAGGGTCAGGTTTGACTTGAGCAGCGGGGGAAGTGGATCTCCACTCCAACTATAGTGCAATATCCGAAGTTTGTTTCCAAAACCAAACTCACTTTGAGAAGGATTTCGTGTGCCTGCCCTCTTCTCTCTTCCTGGACTAACTAAAATCAGCTGCAGCCCGACCTCCCTGTAAATGACCTGTCACACGGATGCCAGAGTCAGACTTCTCTCAAAAAGCCCCAGACTGTTTATATCATTTCTCTGCCTCGAAAATATCTAGTGCCTTCTTCTGCCTACGTTATTCCTTAGCCCTTTATGAACACAGACTCAACTTCCATTCCAGCTTCATCTCTCACCTTAAACAACTGCCCATTCTCCTCAGCTTCCTACTTCGTAACACCTCTCATTCTTCCCCAGAGGAAACGGAGACTTCCATGAGTCTATTCCTTTGCACACCTGTTGTCTTTCCAAAATACCTTTTCTCCCTTAACTGGCAAACTGCTACCCAACTTAAAGATTCAGCCCCAGTACCATTTCTGCTGTCAAGTCTTCCCCATTACCTGCCATGCTGCCCCTAGTAATCACTCCACCTCTGCTCTCACAGCACTTTGTTCATATCCCTATAAATAGCACCTGATATGCAGATAGATAATTATATCCCCCCCTAGACTGTGCATAGGACTGACAATCCCTCAATGGCTTGTACAGAAGGTTCTCAATGAAAGCAAGGAAGTGGGAGAGACATGTGGCTGGTTCAGTCGGTGGAGCATGCGACTCTTCATCTTGGGGTTGTGAGTTCAAGCCCCAAGTTGGATGCAGAGATTACTTAAAAAATAAAATATTCCAAACAAAACAAAAAAAAAAACAGAAGGGAAGGGAAGAGAAGCGAAGGGAAAGGAGGAAGGAAGGAAGGGTTGAAAAATATGGGGACTTCCAGAGAAGAGACAAGAAGCATGGAACATTACCAGGGAGTAAACCAGTTAGTTGATAACAAATTGTAAAAAATGGTCTTCCAAATCAAAGGATTTCAAGATATATCACACCAGGAAGTCTAAAAAGTTCCCACCACTCCACAATGACCAAAAGATGCTGTGCAGCAACTGGTATTCATTCAGAAGGACCATCCCCACAGTTGTTGTAATGAATAATATATATGATTAGGGCGACTAGCCTGGCGTTTCTCCAGGAAAAGAGCCAAAAGAAACTGAGGCAGAACGGTGCAGACAAAAGCCTTACCCTTTCAACACTGATAATCTAATTAAAAAAAACACAAAACCAGGGACGCCTCGGTGGTTCAGTCAGTTAAGCGTCTGCCTTCGGCTCGGGTCATGGTCCCGGAATCCTGAGATTGAGTCCCACATTGGGCTCCTTGCTCAGCGGGGAGTCTGCTTCTCCCCGTCCCACTGCTGCTCCCCCTGTTTGTGCTCTCTCGCTCTCTGACAAATAAATAAAAATGTTAAAACAACAACAACAACACAAGACCAAGGGTGGGGGAGAAATAATAATTTATACTTTGTTAGCACATAGGCTCACTCTGAGACAGAGGCATAGTATAACACTCATCTCCTATTGTAATAAAAAACACAGAACCAGGGCGCCTGGGTGGCTCAGTCGGTTAAGCGACTGCCTTCGGCTCAGGTCATGATCCTGGAGTCCCAGGATCGAGTCCCGCATCGGGCTCCCTGCTCAGCAGGGAGTCTGCTTCTCCCTCTGACCTTCTTCCCTCTCATGCTTTCTCTCTACCTTTCTCTCTCTCTCTCCATAAATAAATAAAAATCTTTAAATAAAAAAAAAAAACACAGAACCATCCCACACATTTGAAAGTCCAGAGTACTAATCACTATGCCATGGAACCCCATATTCTCCATGCATTTCAAACCAGGGGCAATAGAAGTCAACCCCAGTGTGAACTTGGATTGATAACCCTCTCCAGCCCAGTGACATGCAGTAAGCCTAAAAAATATACAGTTAAGGTGCTCACTTAGGCAGCACATATACTAAAATCAGAACAATACAGAGAAGATTAGCATGGCCCCTGCATAAGGAGGACGCTCAAATTCATGAAGTGTTCCATATTTTTGAAGGTAACTATACTTGGGGTGAACATAGCATAATGTATAAACTTGTCAAATCACCAAGTTGTACACCTGAAACTAATGTAACATTGTGTGTCAACTATACTCATAAAAAGAAAAAAAAATATTTTTAAAAGCTAAATATAGGAGGCACCTGGCTGGCTCAGTCAGTGAAGCACACAACTCTTGATCTCGAGGTTGTGAGTTCGAGTCCCAAACTGGGTACAGAGATTACTTAAATATATATATATATATTTAAAAAGAGCTAAATACACACACAAGCACACAATTGAGGGGATAAATTTTAACAGTACAAAACTGTCATGCATCTAAAAACTACAGGACTTACTGAAGGTCTAAATAGGTTCCTAGTGCTGTAAAAGATGTTGACAGGCCTCACCCCAGAAACATGCAGATTCCCAGATTCCTTGCACTGGAGAGAATCACCCCATTGTGATAGGTTTGCTTAAGGGCCCTGGGAATGGGAGGGGTAGACAATTCTCACTGTGAAAGATGCAATCATGTGGGTGACTCAAGCCATTTTCCACTATCCTGGCTGCCATAAAGACAGGCATTTCTATTGACCCCCACCCCCTGCACACAAAGTTGCACACATGTGCCTTCCTTCTGTCAGTCCCCAAGCTAATTTCCAAACACACCAGTGTAACATCAGCTAGAAAACCCACAGTGTCTGCTGCAGGATGTCAACTCCAAGTCAGAAACAAGACTGTACTCAAGTCTATAATTCTACCCTAAGGCTGTCAGTCTCAAGTAACAGAAGCCAATTTGCACTTGACTGCAATATGTCAATTTAAAACACAGCACCAGGTCCATTTTTTCCAGAGGCAGTCACCTACCACAAACAAGGGTGATGACATAGTAGTTTGTCAACCAATTATATCAGGTTAAGCTAGCCTGATCTACTAGCTAGGTTCTAGCTCAGTAACAGCAAGAAAAGAAAAAGAGAATCTCAACCTCGGACCAGTCTGGGGTTCCAATGCAGAATCTCTATACAGCAATGATTAGGTCATTCTTGGTACTGCAGTTTCCTGATCAACACTGATGGATCTCTTAGTACAAGTGGGAAAGGTACTAGGGTTGGGAGGATCAATGAAGCCATTTAAATGCCTGGAGTTGCTAGGAGAAAAGTTTCAGAATAAAACAGTGCAGTGATGAGATGATGATATGTGGGGGCTGCTGACTAAGTGAAAGAGATACTTGGCACCTGTCCCATGATGAAATTAACTGCAGAGTAAAGTATCTGAACCAGCTGGCCACTAAGCCTGAAGACAGAGCTATCCCTCTGCACAGCAAGGGGCCAAGAGCTATCAGAGGGGTATTCAAAGTGTTACAGGTAACTTCCATAGCTTTTAAAAGTGCAATAAAGTTAAAAGCCAACACCCAGAGCTTTGAATATATGTATTAAGATGAGTAATTCCATTCTAGAGCTGTATCCTAAAAAGATCATCAGAAATGCACAGAAAATTTTATTTATGAGTATGTTATCATATCATAGCAGAAAAAAATTAGAAATGTACATGCCCCACAACTGAGAAATGTTAAATAAATGATCCTATTTGCAGAAATTCCATTTAGCTGTTAAATGTAGACAGGCAGCAGCTCTTTCCGCCCACAGGTCCTGTCCCATGCTTTAATAAAACCACAATTTTGCACGGAAAAAAAAGAAAGCAAGAAAAAGAAATGCTGTAGACAGGTAAGGGCATAAAAAATGCTCACAAAAATAACAGAAAGATAGAGAACTACATTACAATAATAGCAAATATATAAAAACAATGTTATGTATATATGGACACAAAAAGATTAAATGGAAACACAAGTATGAACATAGTAACCTGTGCATTGTTTTCATGATTTGGGGTTTTTATTTTTCTATGCTTTCTATATGGCTAAAATTGTGCCTCTATTTAATGGCAGAGGAAAAAAAATCTAAGTTTTTTTTTCCAAGATTCTTTATTAGCCACATTGAAGAGAGAAAAAAAAAACTTCTCCCAAAAAGGCCAGTCTCTGAAGGGTACATGTCATGGTGTGAGGACTGCTCCTGCTTGCCCAGACACGGCACTAAGGGACAGTCTTCCAGGCTGGCCAACAAAGTGGATGTCCAAAGTAAAGCTATCAGATAATGGGAAAGATGACTTGACACACACCTCAGAACTAAGTCTAACTGTGCAGCTCGTCGGCAGTCACCGTGCTCACTTGTTCAGCGTTGCTGCTGCCCAAAACATACCAGGAACTCCTCATCTGGGACCGCCTATGGACTAGGAACACCATCTTTCCAATGTTTTCAAGAGCAATCCGTTTTCATTCTTTGAGATTGGATTTAATGTTTCAGAACAGCCTGAGCCTTAGTATCATTTCCTGACCAAAAATTAAGTAGGACTATAAAATGACTGTAGTTTCTTACGGGAGTCATAAATCTGGTGGTGAAGAAAGAAACCACAAAAAGTGTTTTTATAAATGTATACAGCACAGGCACTGATGTCAGAGTGGCTTTTTTTTACCCCCCTATGGTGACTACTGAAGGACATTTGGATAAAGGAGTTTAAGTTCAATTCTTCAAATGTCTTTTTATGCTTAACACATGCTGGGCGAGCAATGAAGGTGAAAGTAAAAAGGAGTCAGTTCCCACCTTTGGCAACATCTCCTGGGCTCTAACTCTGTGCCAGATGTTACACTTACTATTGCATTTAATCCTCACAACATTTTGTGAGGTAAATTTTATTATCATCCTCATTTTACAGGTGAGAATACTGAGGCTTATAGAAGTTACAGGAAACCTACCCAAGAAGTAAAGACTAGGAGGAAAATCAAATGCTTAAGAACTATAAGTAAAACATAACTATAACATGTTTAATAACTATAGTTAATAACGGTAACTATAACATGCTCTAAAACAAGTACGTTTAAAGTGCTATGGCAGCACAGATGGGGAAAAGAGAATTCTACTCAAAATGCAAAGGAAGAAAACGAGAGAGAGAGAGCAAGGAAAGGAAAAGAAGGAAACTATGGGGGGAAATGAGGTTGGGCTAGGCAGTGAAAGGTGAGTGCAAGTTTGGTATATAAAGAGGACAGGGCGCCTGGGTGGCTCAGTCGGTTAAGCATCTAACTGTTGGTTTCAGCTCAGCTCATGATCTTGGGATCCTGGGATGGAGCCCAGGCTCCATGCTCAGTCTGGGTGGAGTCCGCTTGTCCCTCTCCCCTGTTCATTCTCTCTCTCTCTCTCTCTCTCTCTCTCAAATAAATAAATAAAATCTTAAAAAAAGAAAGGGAGAGAGGGAGGACAATGGTATTCCAGGCAAAGGCAACAGGACAGTCTAGGCAAAGGAAGAGAAGGGTGAAAGTGTGTGGGTATGCTGGAGTATATTGGTTTTTAAAAATCAGTCATTACCTCACAGACATATCACAATTTTTTTTTTTCAGCAAAGACTAGAGAACCACTTTCTCATCATTCAACTGCAACTACCTCTCTGCCTCCCTAATTAATCCCCAATTACCAACCCACAGCACAGGCCTGGACTCTGCCAAAGAGCAGGACTTAGGCCAACAGTTGAACCTGTCATACCCACAGGAGAGGTCCATCTGGGCAGAAATCACTCAATGACTATGGTTTTTGGCAGGCCTGAGAAGTAGACATTAAAGCCCAGAAGCCGCAGCAGTAATGGGATACATTGCACCCCAATACTGGTGTCAGAGTACCAAAGATTCACAGGAAATTGGGGACCAGAACTTCAAAAGACTTCCACAATGTCTCTGTTCTCCCACTGGCCTCCCTTCAACACTAGATGGAAGAATGGCTGTAAGCTGAACCATGTCAAGAAAAGCAAAGTAAGTAACTAAACAAAAAGGGGAGCCGAGGACCTCTTTGTATCAGCCCCTCTGGAATACACAAAGATACAGGTGAAAAGGAAAAGGGAAGTAGTTATTCACCATAATCAGGGGGCACAGTGTGTGACACCTGGCCCACAGGACAGTTTGACAAAGGCAGTGGTTTGTATCTAACTGTCTGCCTGGCCGCCCAGGGTTGGGGAAGAAATTGTCTAAGACCTATGATGACATTCCAGAAATGACCATAAGAACCAAACCAAAACAACTACGTGCCCTCTTTCCAGGCACCTCTCCCACCTGAAAAAGATTCAAGTTCTGGCAAAGAAGGAAGGTTAAATCAGATGCTTTCTCTGGGTGAATGAACAAGACAAACTGCTGTATCTTATACATTTTATGCTATAAAGACTATTACACAGTGTATATAAATGAAGGTAGGATTAGAAAACAGGACACAGCTCAAGGAGGTTAGTGTAGGGGAAAAAGACAAAAAAAAAGATCTATTGCCCTCACCTCAAAGCACCATACTCTGCTCTCCCGCAGGGAATAAGGTGCCCCAGTGTGTGTTACATATACACTTGAGCAGTTGTGGGTGTTCGCCCACATAGCACAGGGTCCCTAGCATCGGACAGCAGCACAACATAGCCATCTTGGCTGCTATACTCCCAGGAAGTCCTTAGCAGGACCGATGTTCTCAGACCAGCCACGCCTTGGGTTTTCCAATGTAAACTACCTATGCTATGGGAGTATTTAAAGAGCTACATGGATTAATACATGTAAAGTGCTTAGAACAGGGCCTCGTCCATAACTAGCATTTGCTAAATGCTTGCTTTTATTACTATTATCACTAGTGCTATTGTCTTCCCGTCTCAACCATCATAACTGTCCTACAGGGAGATCAAGTAAGCCCTGGAGCCAACCATGTGGATGGGTGACTAGGGCTACAACTCCCCAACCAGAGCGTGACTTGACCGAGCTCATCCTGGACTAAAGCCGGCACAAGGACTCACCATGATTCAAAGTGTCCAGGAGGGACAGAGGAAAGAAGAGATAGAACCAACATCTGGTGAACTCTGCCAACATTCCAGACACTCAACTGTATATATATCCTCTTGTTTAATGCCCACAGCAGTAAGTGCTTCTGAGTTCATCTTGGAGAGGCAGA